GCTGCGAATGCGACGACGCACGGCCGAATGCCGCCAGCGCCGAGAGAGGTAAGGAGAAGGGCGAGGTAGAAGACCATCAGCTGCGTGCCGGAGGCTTGCGTGCAGTTGAGTTGGGTCGGGCAAGGCGTCGGGTGGAGCTGCGGGAGAATGGCGGAGACCGTGATCGTAGCCATTCCCTGTAGAATACAAAATATTACTAAATCCATAAGTTTTAACTAATTACGTATAATTATTAATCGATTAGGACTCGTTTAATAACGTTCTCGTTTCTGTTTCTTATTTTTAATAAAGAAAAATAAAATTTTATAGCCCTCACACCCATGAATTCAAGAATGATCAAATAATTTTATATTCATGTATGGTAACAAATTGGAAATGGAAACAAGAAACAAAAAACTTGTTTGGATTGTTTCTAAAATTTCTATACAATTTTGATAATGTTTTCAAAACAATGAGAAGCAAGAAATATATTTAATTGCAAAGTGCTTAAGTTTTTTAATAAAATTTGGAAATGAGAACAAGAAACGGGAACGTTACCAAATGGATTCTTAACTTTCCGAGTCGTCCCTTCTCAAGATAGTGGTTCTTTTTTGCCATTTTCAAAAATGGATATTCGTTTTAGGTTGTTGAGTTCTGAAACGATATCAATATAGGTTCTATTTCAAAACCAATCGACAATTAGAAGAGTGGAAAGAAAGAGAGATACGAGGTGGTAGATGATGGAGGCGACGGTGATGGTCCAGAAGCGGCCGGCGAAGGAGTCGGCGATGAGAGCTCCGATGAGGGAAGTGAAGCTGGAAGTGGCGGCGAAGTTGGTGAGAATGTTGGAGGCAGGAACAAGAGGCATGTTAAGATCTTGGGTCAAGTATGTAATTATGTTGGCGTGGAACCCTGTGCTTGCAAATCTATCACACACTTCATTTCCTGCAATAACCAATTCAATTTTCCACCACAAACATTAATCAAACCAGCAAATTAATAGTTTCAGGGATGTATCAGAAGAAGAAAAAAATTTAATTCAACGATTAAGACCATGTTTGGTATTTTTGCTATTTTTTAAAATCACTTTTTTTTTATCATTTTTTTAGTACAACAGATGTAGGGATGGGATATCGAACCTCCGACTTTATCCGACTTTAAAGGAAGGAGTAAAGTGTCTTAATCGTTGAATTATATCCATGTTGGCATGTGGGTACTATTTTAAATGAAACTAATTTTGATGGTGAAAAAGTAAAGTATGAGTTAAAACATGTCAAAATTACTCTAAAATATGTCATAATATATTTCACAATATATACAAAGGAAACTACAAAAATAGATAGCATTAGATTCAAAATTTTACAAAAATGACATAAATTAAAAATTTATACTATCATATAAGACCAAACTAAAAGTCAAGATTAGTGACTGTTTTATTTTAGTTTTGAACTTTTAAATTAAAATTTTTCATTAGAATTTTGATAAAATCAAATATGAACTTAACCAGAGGTAATTGATATTTGTATCTGATCAAGAAGTCATGAGTTCCTATTTGTTGAGTGTTATGCACGTGAGTGTGTGTTTTAGTTTTTAATTGTATTAATTGTAAAAATAAAAATTAAAAAAAAAGTTATTATATTATTATTATTATTATTTCTTGTTTGAGATAAAATTTATTATATTAATTAGTTGAAATATTTTTGCCTTTGACATTTTTTAAAATAAATTATTACCTTACTCAGTAATCACGAGGGGAAAGTATTGTGTTCCCAAGAATGGGACAAAAAAGTAAGGTTCAAGATTCATGTAGCTGTCCAAATATATATATTATATTGTTTACTTATTTTTTGAGATAAAATATTATATCATAGAATATAATATTTCCCTTTGCAAAAAAAGAATATAATATTTCTTAGCTGATTTATTAATTAATAACTTTGACTCTCATGCACAATATTTCATATTTATAATATAATGCCCAAAGGAGAAAAATAAAAACTTTCCATTTTTTTATGCTTTTATCTTGAATGATTTTAGTTTAAGAGAGAGAGACGAGAACAAAAATAGAAGGATTAATATTTAAAAGATAAAATTTAGATGCTTATTTGTAAATTTTCTCTTCATATTTATATTAAAAAAAGTGGATGGTTATTTGTTCTAATTCTCTTTTGTTATTTCTTTTAATTGTCAATTTTTTAATGGTGTGTGTCTATAGTAATCATCTAACTTTCATCCTTTATAAAATATTAAAAAGTTAAAAGAGAACAAATCTCATCTATTATTTTCAACATGGTCGATCTACCTGTAAAGGATGAATAAATCATCACTCAACTCAAAAGCTTAAGCTGATGAGTTAAGTAAATTTAATTCCACCACTCAATCCAAAAACTTCCATCTAAAGATTCTATTCAAAATAATATTTTATTTTCTAGAAATTAAAAAGGATATATACTATTGTGTTTCATGTGAGTGACTTCACATGTTTAGAATAAATAAAGTTATAGTCGAGTATTGAAAATCTAATCTTTTCTACGGTCGAAGATTCAAACACTCGCACCTACACTCGTAATAACTTCATGCACAATATATATTACAACTTACCAAAAACAAAAACGGAATACGAAATATCTCTCGAAAGAATCATAATGCAACCGAAATGACTGTATTGCCCATGTCTTTAGAGAGAGAAAGAGAAGCCAAATGCAAAGGGAGAGAGAGATGTTACCAAGAATGAAAGGCATTGTCTTGACTCCACCAAGCTTCCTGTCCTTCTTCTTCTTCTCCCCTTCCTCTAATTCCATCTCTTCTTCTAATTTCTTCTTCTCTTTCTCATCAACTCCCACTCTAATGGATTCTATCTCCATTGTCTCTCCACTTCTTCCCTCCACAATAACCCCTCTTTATATGGCCAATGACACACAATACGGTGCCGTTTTATAATCCTCATAATCAGAAAGTGGGGCCCTCCAAAAATTGACACAATTTGGCCTTGGCATGTGACCCTCCCCACTGCCACTTTGGTCACTTTGATTTTGGGTCCAAAATTATTGAGTTTTTGTCCTCATTGAAATCTAATTTGGATGTGTGAATCAAAGAAAGCTCCAAATTGCATATGGATCATGCACCACATACCCATTTATATATTTGCATATAACTTTTTGTTGGGACCTTGTAGGCATAGGTGTTGCCCTTTCTTCTCAATTTTTGCCTAAAATAAAATTTGATTTGGATCCTATATTGTATGGTTGGTGTAGTAGTATTTGAGATCTACTACGGTTTTCGTTGTTGTTTATTCTTAAATGTCGATGTCACTTTGAAGTTTCAAACTTAATTTGCGGAGATGGTGATGAAAAATATTAATAGAAATATTGTTTTGGATTTGTGATTTTGAATTCTTAACTTGATCTAAAATTTTATGTGTGGTGCGATGATTGAACTCTACCCCCAATATAGATCTCATTGAGAGTGTGGGGCAGTGACTATGCGGTATATATTTTTTAGGTATTTGATCCTTTAAATTAAGATTTAAATCTTTTTTTGTTCAATGAACTTTTAGAACATCTACTTTACTGAACTTTCAAAAAAAATAAATCATTCTAGTCCTTAGCATTACTTGTATAATAGTTTTATGATGTGGCTTCAAATGAGAGTGTTATATGACTCACAAGATTTGTAGGATATTTTCGAAAGAGGATTCGTTGAAGTTGAGAATCAAAACGAGCTCACGAATCAACAACTTTCTGAGTTGAGAGAGAATCGTAAGAAAGACAAGAAGGGGTTATTCTTTGTTTATTAAACTGATGATGAAAAAATCTTTGAAAGAATTTCAACAGCAACTACTGCAAAGGCGCTTGGGATATTTTACAATCTACCTATCAAGGAGATGATGGGGTAGAGATGGTAAGATTACAAGCCCTCATATTTGAATTTGATTCCATAAAGATTAAATAGACTGAAAGTGTTGAAGATTTTTTTAATCGTGTTCTTGCGATTGTCAACAATTTGATATCAAATGGAGAAGAAAGAGCGATCAAAGTGTTGTTGAAAAGATTCTTAGAAGTATGCCAAGAAAGTTTGAGCATGTTGTTGTTGCAATTGAAGAGTCAAAAGACTTATCTACATTTTCGTTAAATAGCTTTATGGGTTCTCTTCAATCTCATGAGCTTAGAATAAAACAACATGATGTTACTTCTCCTAAGAAAGCTTTCTAGATGCAAACCTCCTTTAGAGGCAGTTCTCGTGGAAAATATGGCAGTCGTGTTGGTCGAGGAGGTGGAAGAAACTATGACAATAGAAATAGTGCAAGTTATCAAAGCAAGCAAGAAAACTCTTCTTCGTCTTGAGGAAGAGGAGACGAAGAGGGAATAGGTTTTGGTAGAAACCAAGAAAGTGATCGTTGTACTTTTTCTCACATCCAATGCTTTAATTGCAAAAAATATGGCCACTTTCAAGCAAATTGTTGGGATATGAGAAATGGAGATGGAAATAATAATTCCACCATGATGCATAAAGAGGAGAAAAATGATGATGGAGTTCTATTTCTAGCATGTAGTGCTGAAGAAAATGTTGAAGAGCCTGTATGGTGTCTTGATAGTGGTTGTATAACCACATGACAAGAAATAAAAGTATATTTGTTACTTTGGATGAATATTTCTAAAGTGAAGTGAAAACTGGTAATGATACCAAATTACAAGTCAAAGATCGAGGTGATATTCTCGTTTGAGACGAAGAAAGACACCAAACGAATTGTGGATGTGTTCTATGTTCCAGGTCTAAAGAATAATCTTCTGAGTGTCGGTCAACTGCTCCATAACGAGTACTCAAAGTTTCAGATGATGTTTGTGCAATCAAAGATCAAAGTGATGTTCTTACTATCAATGTGAAAATGACGAGTAATAAAATGTTTCCTATGAAGTTTATATATGGTCAAATTGCTTGCTTTACTGGCATATTAAAAGATCTATCTTGGCTTTGACATTTCCAATATGGTCACTTGAATTTTGTATCATTATCATATATGTGCAAAAATCATATGGTTAGAGGTATTCAAAATATCAACTAGTAGACAGATATTTGTGTGGTGTGTATTCTTGCAAATGTAACGTCAGACTAGAATGAACCGATACCACATCCGAATAATAGGGATCATAAAACCATAGAAATTATGGTTAAGAAAGCTTAAAAGAAATTATAGTTACTACCTATATTAACAATGTGTACCTTCCTTTTCGATAACTCAATCGTAAGAACTCCAAAGTTAAGCGTGGTTGACTCGGAAAAAATGTGATTTTTAATGAAGAGGAATGTTGAAATTGGGATGAAGCCTGGAAGTTGAAAGTCCATTTCATGTTAACATGGATGAATGTGGAGGTGTTTGAGACTTGGAGCAAGTAGGGATTCAGCCAGTAGCATCATCTGCATCTTCATCACCATCTTCCGCTAGTGATGAAGAAACCTTACCAAGGAGAATGAAAGATATTCAGGGAATTTATAATCCTACAAGCAGAATTGATGATTTTGCTAATTTTACATTATTTGCTGATGTTGATCCTATAAAATTTTGATGAGGCGACTAAAGATGAAAAATGGAAGATTGCAATGGATCAAGAAATTGATGTCATAAAAAGAAATAAAACATGAGAGTTGTTGGAGCTTCCTATAAATAAACAAGCTCTTGGAGTGAAATGGGTGTATAGAACAAAGCTAAAGTCAAATGGTGAAGTTGAAAAATAGAAGGCAAGACTTGTTGTAAAAGATTACAAGCAAGAGTATGGATTTGAGACCATTCGATTGATTTTATCTTTGGCTGCTCAAAATGGGAGGAAAGTTTATCAAATAGATCTAAAGTCCGCTTTCTTGAATGAATACTTGAAAGAAGAGATATTTGTTGAACAATCTCTGGATTATGTGAAAAGAGAAGAAAAGGTGTACAAGCTGAAAAAGGTCTAGCTTGGTACATTCGCATTGACAATAAGGAGTAGTCCATGTCTAATATAAACCTAGGTAAGGTCCCTTCTTTTATCAATGTGAGATCCTTAACATGCCCCTCAAGATCGTGGCTCTTTTGGCTCCCATTTTTTGACCGGATGCTTGTTTGAGCTTTTATTTGGGCTCTGATATCATATTAATAATATTCATGGGGTTTCATCTCAAAACCAATTGGCAATGAGAGGAGTAGTCTATATGTCTAATATAATCCTAGGGATCTTTAACACTATATGTCAAGGAAGATAAGAATGACAAATTTCTTATTGTTTTAGTGTATTTCGATGAAATTCTTTTCACTTGAAATGATAAATTGATGTGTGATGACTTTAAGAATTCCATGAAAAAGGAATTTGAAATTAGTGATATGGGCCTCATTCATTACTTTCTTGGGATTGAAGTCAATCAAAAAGATAGAGAGATTGTTATCTCATAGCAAAAATATGTTGATGATTTGTTGAAAAAGTTCATAATGAAAAATGTTTTTCTTAGTAACACGCCTATGGATGCAAATTTGAAATTGAGCAAAGAGGATATTGGAGAAGAAGTTGATCCAAGTTTATATCGAAGCTTAGTTGGAAGCTTGATGTGCTTGACAGCAACGAGACCTGATATTTTATTTGTTGTAAATATGTTAAGCAGATTCATGACAAGCCCGAAAATAAGTCATTCGGAAGCGGGTAAGAGAGTTCTTTGTTACATTCTTGGCACCAGAAATCTTGGAATTCATTACAAGAAGTTTCGGAATCAGTGTTAGTTGGTTTATGTGATAGTGACTAGGGTGGAATTGTTGATGATCATAAAAGTACATCCAGTTATGTTTTTAGCATTGACTCGGGTGTTTTTCATGGACTTCGAAGAAGCAACCCGTTGTTGCTCTTTCTACCACCAAATCAGAATACATCTCTTTATCTGCAGCTGGATGTCAAGCTTTGTGGGTAAGGTGGATGTTGAAAGAATTGAAGTGTACACAAAGAAGTGAAACTGTCTTATTTTGTGATGATGGTTCGATCATTGCACTATAAAAAAATCCAGTTTTTCATGGAAGAAGCAAGCATATTAGAATCAAGCATCATTTCATCAGAGACTTGATTAAAGATGGAGAAGTGATAGTGAAGCATTGCAAGACTCAAGATTAAGTGGCAGATATTTTTACGAAGGCGCTGAAGTTTGTCTTATTTTTTAAGTTCAGAGAAAAGCTAGGAGTTGCTCAAGTCTAGATTAAGGAATGATGTTAAAATTAATCCGGACATATTGCAAATAAATGAATTAACAATTAATTACCTACCTAAATTGTAGGATACCTGAATCACTAAATACATTGATGAATGTTCATGTATTAGTGAAGGGTCACATGTATTTATATTTACTATTAGTGTCTTTTGGTATATTTTCCTACTAGTATAAATATCTGTAGAATTTGTCATTTGAAATCAAATCAAGGAAAGCAAAGTCATTTACAAAATACAAGTTCTTGTTTCTTCAATTTAGTGTGAGTAAGAGAACAATCTTCTTCTCTTGTCTCTTGAATTGAGTTGTGAGGACCTACTTCGTTTACAACACTAATTTAGACAGGTCCTTAAGTTGCTTGAACACTCAAAGCGCACGGTTTAGGCGCATTATGTGCGCTTTAAGACCTTTTTGGGCATATTTTAGCTACTTTTGATGTGTAAGAAGGTGGTAGGCAGGATACTTTGATTTACATTACAAATTTCTTTACTTGTTTGAACACTTAATAGCCACTTAGGCGCACTTTTAGGCCACACTACAACTTTTTACCTAATTTGTAATTAAACGATATGAGTTAAGCACAATTTGCTTCGTAAGTGATCCTTTGAAAGTGACCACCATTACCCTAGAATATGAGCTGATCTAGATTCTAAAAAATTC